TTCATTTTCAGCTTCAGATTTTTCGATTGAATTTCATCTATGTTTTTCTCTCAACTTGTTCAGTTTCTGTTAAATTCATTCGTGCTATCTTTTAGGAAATTTGATTCTGTATAACTTTCGTTCTTTGAATTTTGGTCAATTCGAATTATTTAAGCATGAAACGGTGCATTTTTATACTTCTTCAATAAGTTACTTATGATTAAATTAAACTAATTTTATTTTTTTGCAGAATGGTGGGTCTTACTAACTTTTTTATGCAAGGCTGACCCACCATATTTTTATTTATATTTTGTTTATTTTATAATCGATTTATATTTCATTGTGTACGGACAAGAAACTAAATGCCACCGTATCTCGGGAAACTACCCATTCGTCTCGGTGCGGTTGGAACTACTTGTCTTGTCCCGTAATAAGAATTAAATGTATTTTTGTTTGTGTCTGGTGGACACGTGGGTGTTAAATCTTGTACTCAAGTCAGTATACCTGTATACTGACCCGTTTTGTCTCTTGGCAACTCGGGTGCGTTCTGTTTGAACGCAGCCGAGCTTCCTTTGCAGGATTAGTTGAGGCTATGGTGGTAACAAGAAATAACTATGATCGTAGGACATGTCGTTTGGACTTCTTTTGTTTTCTTAAGCCTAGAGTTGATATTAGTTTATGTATTTATTATTTTTTTTATGACTTTAGTATTGGAATAATTTGGCATGGTTTGTAACCATACTTTATTTAAGTTATTTTGACTAGTTGTTGCTACCTTAATGTTGAGGTATTGGTTAGTTATGAGATTATGGTGGATGGTTTGATTGGTGTTTAGTTTTTTTTGTTTCACCCCTAAGATTTGGATGATGGAATATTGATTGGGGTTTAATCCTAATTTAATATTTAATTGTCTAAATTTTGGGGCGTGACAGTTTGGTATCAGAGCTCTAGGTTACCCTAGACTTGTGAGAGTTTAGGTTATCCTCGGATTGGGAAAACATGGATTAGCTGGTTTAGGTTAGTGGTTGAATTTATTCTAGGTATTTATGAACGAATTCTTCTTATGTGTTTAACTTGAAGGTGATGGCTGGAAGGTATAATTTGAGAAGCGTTGAGCCTAATGGCACTGGGAAAGAAACAATTTCTAACGCGGCGGCAGCGGCGGCGACGGCTACTACTAGGGCAACGACGACTGCTACCGAGGCAACCAATACGGTGCAGGTTAATGTAGGGGAGATGATGGCTCAATTACTTCAGGTTGTGCAGAATAATAATCAAAGTCAGCAAGGAGATCCATTTGCGAAGAGAAACAAAGATTTTGGTTCTTTGGGAGGTCAAAAATTCTCTGGAGATGGAGGACCCATCGCAGCTGACGCTTGGGTTCAAAAATGTGAGATGGTGTTTGGTCGTATGCAGCTCACTGAGATCCAAAAACAGGAGTTGGTGACACATCAGCTTAAGGAAGCCGCCCTATTTTGGTGGAACTCGTGGAAGGAGGGTATAGATTTAACAACTTCGACTTGGGCAGATTTCAAGACTCGTTTTGACTGCAAGTTTGTTCCTGTTGCTATTCGGTCTCAACTGAGTGATGAATTTTTGAAATTGACTCAAGAGGGTAGAACAGTGATCGAGTATCTCACCAAGTTTAATGAGTTGTCTCGTTATGCCCCTTACTTAGTCGACACGCAAGAGAAGAAGAATGAGAAGTTTATTAAGGGATTGAATCATTACCTGTCTAAGTCTCGTATTCCCTTTGATGTTGAACCGTTTGATAGAGTTCTTGACTTGGCATTGAAGTATGAGGAAAATGAGAAGCAGTTTAAAGAAGGGAAGGCCAAGGTCGGAGAGACTTCTAGAGGGAGTCACTTACAGCAGCGGGATAGGAACAGATACCGCCCTATGATCAAACACATAGGGGTCAGCAGTTTCAGAGGCCACAGCAACAGGGTAGTTAGGGAAATTTTAGACCTCAGGGCAATTTCCAGCCCCAGTGGCACTATTATCAGAGAAAGGGTGGTCCATGTCCATAGGGTTATCAAGGACAGCGGCAGCAAGTGCCACAGTTGGGTTATCGTCCTCTCGTACCTCAGTTAGAGAGACCCCCACCTATCAGACTAGTAGCACCTCAACCGATTAATAGAAAGTGTTTTGGGTGTCAGCAGTTGGGGCATGTAATCAAGGGTTGCCCTCAGAGACACCAGGCGCGACAGGGTCAAGCAGCTCCAGTCAGGGCATTTGCAGTGATGCCAGGAACTGACAAAGTGCAAGGTACTTTTAATCTCTTTCAAGAACCCATTAAAGTGCTTTTTGATACTGGTGCCTCTCATTCTTTTATATCTAGACAGTTTGTAGAAAGAGAACATATTGTAACTACCTCATTGTCTAGACCTATTCGTGTTAAGACCCCTTTAGGAAGGACAGTTACTCTTTGTGAGATGTGTAAAGATTTTGAGATTGACTTTGCGGGCAAAGTCTTATATGTGGACCTAATTGTGTTAGGGTTTGAGGGGTGTGTAATTATTTTGGGTATGGATTGGCTGCGAAAACACTTTGTGACTCTAGATTGTGCTAGAAAGACTGTAAATATAGATATTCCTGGTATGCCACGGCTTACCCACTCTTCTAGCGATGGAGAAGAGTCGGTGATGACGAGTTTTCTGTGCTCAGTAGAAATCCCTAAGCAGGTTATTAGTGAGGTAGATGTGGTGCGCGAGTTTGAGGATGTATTTTAGGAGATACCTGGACCTCCTCCTCGACAGGTAATAGAATTTCACATTGACTTAGTGTCGAGAACTGCACCAATTTCTAAGGCAGCATACAAAATGGCGCCTAAAGAGCTTGTGGAGATGAAGAAGCAGCTGGAAGAGATACTTCAGAAAAGGTTCATTCGTTCAAGTAACTCCCCGTGGGGAGCACCTGCGATCTTTGTCTCCAAGAAAGATGGCACTCTCTGTATGTGCATAGATTACAGAGAGCTAAACAAGGTGACTATCAAGAACAAGTATCCGCTACCTAAAATTGATGACTTGTTTGATCAGTTGAAGGAGGTAGCCATGTTCTCTTAGTTTGATCTCAGAACGGGTCACCATCAGATGGGTGTGTCAAAGGAAAGTATATCGCTTACTGCTTTTCGAACCCGGTATGGGTTGTACGAATTTCCTATAATGCCTTTTGGTTTGACCAATGCTCCTGCCTATTTCATGGACTTGATGAAAATAATTTTTCAACCGTATCTAGATAAGTTTGTGATTATCTTCATAGATGATATCCTGGTGTATTCTAAGAATGAGAAAGAACACAGAGAACACTTGAAAGTTGTATTGCAGACTTTAAGGGAGCAATAATTATACGCTAAGTTTAGTAAGTGTCACTTTTGAGAGAAAGAAGTTTGATTTTTGGGGCATGTTGTGTCAAATTAGAGAATAGCGGTAGATCCTGAGAAAGTTGTTGCAGTCAAAGAATGGAAGCAGCCTACGAACCCTACAAAGGTGAGAAATTTTTTAGGACTAGCCAGTTATTACAGGAGATTTATAGAGAAGTTTGCCACTATTGCAGTACCCATGACCAAGTTGACCCACAAGAATGTGAAGTTTGTATTGTGAGAAAGCTTTCCAGGAGTTAAAGCAGCGGTTGACTACAGCACCAGTGTTAACTATACCAGTACAAGGGGAAAAGTTAGTAGTGTTTACTGATGCAAGTGTAACTGGGTTGGGATGTGTGTTGATGCAATATCAAAAGGTTTTATCTTATGTTTCTTGACAGTTAAAACCTCATGGGAGACGATACCCTACTCATGACTTAGAGTTGGCAGCAGTTGTTTTTGCGTTGAAAGTGTGGTGACGCTACTTGTTTAGGGAGCACTTTGAGTTGTACACAGATCACAAGAGCCTCAAATATCTCTTTTCTCAAAAAGAGTTGAACATGAGGCAATAGAAGTGGGTTGAATTCGTCAGTAGTTATGATTTCGAGGTCCTTTACCACCCGGGGAAAGGAAATGTGGTCACTGATGCACTTAGTCAACAACGTGGGATTATAGCTTCTTTGATGATTCAAGAATGGAAGTCCTTGGAGTTAATTTTGATGCATGATGTTCAACCAATAGAGAGTGCTGAGAGGGCATACATTGGTAGTTTGACCATGCAGCCGATTTTACTGAGTAAAGTTCATCAGATGCAGAATTTAGATGGGTTTCTAGTCAGCAAGCTCAATAACCTTGTAGTGGATTTGATCGATGGTTGTCCTAATGATTGGTCTGTGGACTCAGATGGGGGATTGCGATTCAAGGGTAGGTTGTGTGTACCTAACATTGTTGAATTGAGGAAAGAGATTATGGATGATGCCCATAAGTCCCGATATATTATTCACCCTGGTGGGACTAAAATGTATCATGACTTGAAGAGGATGTTTGGTGGGAAGGTATAAAGAAAGGAGTAGGAGCATATGTTTCTCGATGTTATGTGTGCCAACAGGTTAAGGCAGAACACCAACGACCGTTTGGACTTTTGCAGCCTCTCGAGATCCCTACTTGGAAATGGGAGTACATCTCTATGGGCTTCGTGGATAGATTGTCGCGGTCTAAGTGAGGCAACGAATCTATTTGGGTGATAGTGGATCAACTCACCAAGTCTGCTCATTTTATTCCTATTAGTGTTCACCGAACTACGGATAAACTAGCTAGGCTATATATTCGGGAGGTGGTGGGACTTCATGACGCACCAGTTTCTATAGTTTCGGATCGTGATCCGTTGTTTATGGCAGAGTTTTGGAAGAGTTTTCAACATGCTTTGGGTGCTAGGTTAGACTTGAGCACGGCTTATCATCCTCAGACAGATAAGCAAACTGAGCGGGTAAATTAGATCTTGGAGGATATATTGAGAGCTTGTGTCCTCAATCGTGGTGGTAGTTGGGAAGAACACTTGCCATTGGTGGAGTTTGCTTATAATAATAGTTATCAGTCCAGTATCAGGATGGCACCTTTTGAGGCTTTGTATGAGAGGCCATATCGATCACCTGCTTATTGAATGGAGGTAGAAGATGCGCCATTGTTGGAGACAGAGTTGGTGAGAGAGACCACAGAGAAGGTAAACATTATTCGGGAATGTATTAAGACTGCACAAAGCCGTCAGAAGAGTTACGCTGATAGAAAACGTAAAGGGGTTGAGTTGAATGTTGGAGATTTTGTGTTTTTGAAGGATTCACCGATGAAAGGTATCATGCGGTTCGGAAAGAAGGGAAAGTTGACACCTAGATTTGTGGGACCATACGAGATCACTGAGATGATTGGTAATGTGGCTTACAAATTAGCTCTACCACCTGCTTTAGCTATGATTCACAACGTGTTCCATGTATCTTTATTACGGAAGTGTGCGCAAGATCCTTCCCAAGTAGTATCACCAGAGGTGTTGGAGATCAGTGATAATTTAACGTATGTGGTGCGACCGGTTACTATTCTAGACCGGGATGTAAAACAGTTGCAGAGCAAGAAAGTGAACTTAGTTAAAGTGCAATGGAGCGAGGATGAGAATGATATCACTTGGGAATTAGAAGAGAAAGTTCGGCGTATGCACCCGAAACTTTTTGCTTAGTACTCTCTCCTATTGAATCTCAGGACGAGATTCTTTTGAGGTATGTATATTGTAGTGACCCTAATTTTTTCGTAAGACTTATTTATTATTACTTTATTTTATTTTTGGCTTTGTTAATTGTGTGGATTCATGAGAATTTATTGTGGTAATTAATTAATTTAATGTGTTATTTAATTAATTTATTAATCCATATATTTATATTTGTTATATATAAAAAAAAAGAGGTGTTATCTATCTATCTATCTATCTATCTATACTATTATAAAGTGAACACCCCTTATGGTGTCTCGAAGCCTTTGTTTCTTATGTTGCCACGTGTCTACTTTTTTATTTGAAATAAAAAAAAAAAAAATTAGATAGATGAGAGGAGGGGATTTGAACCTTAGACTTATGTCAAATGAATAAGACTCTTATCACTTAACTAGCATACAATATATGATAAATGTTTTATTTTATTTATATTTATTAGAATTGCACACGCATCGCGTGTGGCAACCGCTAGTATATATATATATATATTTAATCTTATATTTATATTTATATTTATATATATTGCAATTATGTTATTTTATATAATATAATAATATATAATAGTCAAATTAGATTAGAATAGGGATTAAGTTTAGAAGTTAGAAGAAAGAAAACAAAACCAAAAAGAGTGGTGCTGTGTGCGGCTGTGCAAGCCGAGAGAGAAAGAGAGAGAGAGTAATCAAGAAAAAAGAGACGGTCCTGCGCTGTGTATGTAAGAGAGACGGCAAGAGAGAAAGAGATGAGAGGGAAGAAAAAGAAGAGATTAGGGTTTTGTTTTGTGACTCTATTAATTCTCCAAACACTTCTTTGATCTTCAAAAAAATATTGTGAGTACAAAACTCACTTCCCTTGATTTATGTTTAATTCGGTGTTTTTATTTATTTATTTTTATTTATTTGATGTTAGTTTGATTTTGTATTTATATAAAGATGATAGATTGATTTTAATTATTCTGATTAGTTATGTATGTAAGGTGTAGGATTTTTAGATGATTGATTGATTTTAATTATTTTGATTAGTTGTGTATGTAAAGTTTAGGGTTTTTAGATGATTGATTGATTTTAATTATTTTGATTAGGTGTGTATGCAAGGTTTAGAGTTTTTATATGGATTTATTTTATGGTTGTAATCACACTCATAGATATATTAAATTAAAATAAATTAGGAACTCATAGATAAATTTCTTGCACTCCACCATAACTCCATGAATTGTTGTTTTATTTGAGTGTTGGTGAGAAAGAGTGTATGAAAAAAAAAAGTGAGGATTATGAGATTTATTTGAATACTTTAGACTTAGTATTGTTATATTTATTCTCATGAGTGAGATGTTGTGTATATAATATTGTTGTCTCGTTCTCATGAATAGACGAGTGTTTTGATTTACGCACGTACGTATATGCTAACCATTCGGAGAATGTGAGTCAAACTCGGGACGATATTCCCGTGCAAGTTTGGCTTCAGAGTGGTGTTAGGTATACGGGAGGCACACGGGATATATGTTTAGGCCGGAAATGGAGGCCGAAGTGGTGGAATTAAGGTACAAAGAATTTAATCATGAGTTTATTAGTATAGTGTGAATTGTATTGATTTGTACATCTTGAAAAAATAGTAAACGAACTCGATAAATTATGAAATTTGAGAAGAGACATGTATATGTGATTCTAGACAACTTTTGTTTTTTAACTTTTTATTAAAAAGATCGATTAGAACTTATAATCGAATGATCTTAGATATTATAGCTTTGATTTATTTTAGCAATGCAGATTTTAGAGGCTGTTTTAACCCACGAAACAAGCTCATTTTTATTGGTTTCGCGTTAAATGAAGTAAAACATTATTCTATACATTTTTCGTGTTTTGAACTTTTCCGAAAAAAATCATCTTAAGGCAGCTTTTGTTCATGTTCAGCTTCAGATTTTTCGATTGAATACCGTCTATGTTTTTCTCTCAACCTGTTCAGTTTCTGTTAAATTCGTTCGCATTATCTTTTAGGAAATTTGATTCTGTACAACTTTCGTTCTTTGAATTTTGGTCAATTCGAATTATTTAAGCACGAAATGGTGCATTTTTATACTTCTTCAGCAAGTTACTTACGATTAAATTATACTAATTTTATTTTTTTGCAGGATGGTGGGTCTTACTAACTTTTTTATGCAGGGCTGGCCCACCATATTTTTATTTCTATTTTGTTTATTTTATAATCAATTTATATTTCATTGTGTACGGACAAAAAACTAAATGCCACCGTATCTTGGGAAACTACCCATTGGTCTCGGTGCGGTTGGAACTACTTGTCTTATCCCATAATAAGAATTAAATGTATTTTGTTTGTGTCTGATGGACACATGGGTGTTAGATCTTGTACTCAAACCAGTATACCTGTATACTAACCCGTTTTGTCTCTTGGCAACTCGGGTGCGTTCTGTTTGAGCGCAGCCAAATTTCCTTAGTTGAGACTATGGTGGTGACAAGAAATAACTATGATCGTAGGACATGTCGTTTGGACTTCTTTTGTTTTCTTGAGTTTAGGGTTGATTTTAGTTTATGTATTTTTTTTTTTTTTATGACTTTAGTATTGGAATAATTTGGCATGGTTTGTAACCTTACTTTATTTAAGTTGTTTTGACTAGTTGTTGCTACCTTAATGTTGAGGTATTGGTTGGTTATGAGATTATGGTGGATGGTTTGATTGGCGTTTAGTTTTTTTTGTTTCACCCCTAGGATTTGGATGATGGAATATTTATTGGGGTTTAGTCCTAATTTAATTGTCCAAATTTTGGGACGTGACATTATTTAAGCCAAAAAAATGTATTTTTTTATTTTAATTTGTTTAATTGACAATTGAGATAAAAACAATTAATAGAATCCATTATATTTGACAACTGTTAAAAAAAATTAGGAGAAATTACTCATAAATCCCATATTGAGCAATGTTGCTCTATCTAGTCCTGAGTGTTTTTTTGTAAACCATTTAGTCTTTTTTATTTTGGTATGGTATCTTTGTTTGTTATATTGTATCTTCCAATTACTGATTTGCCCATATTGTGATTTAATTTTTGATTTTGTCCTGCTGTTGGGTAAGGTATGTTGTAACATTTCTTTTTTGTAGGTGGTGTTTAGTGGACTGTGTGAGTAGATTTTGATGTTAACCAATTGGTGTTTACTTTCTTACGTTGGCTTTGCTTCTCTTCCATTACTTTTGTAGGTTGGGTGTAGTGTTGGTCAAAACAGAAAATTAACAACAAACAACAGATTTTCAATGTCCAACCCATGAATTATTAACTACAATTACCACATCACTAACATCAAGCGTCCCTCACTCACATTAACAAACAACCAACAGGCCCACCATAAGACAACAATAAAAGCGTAAGCACACCCTCCCATATGGTTTACTCAACATAAGACACCAACCTACATCACAACAAAACCACAACATAATAATGGTAATAGCAAGAATAACAAGTACACATAACTCCATCTCGTATTTGCCATTGACACACCTCAACAAACATTACATAATTCAACATCACCATATCGTACAACACAATCAACACTACTAAAACATATACATTTCAACCTAATCCACATCGCACCAAAACCTAGGCCTATATTACAAATCCAAAAAATACACACCTAGTCCCATGCTTTTCGACAATGTTCTGCGGCGACAGTGATGTATAAATGTCATTTTCATTGACGTTGAATTGACGGAATGGTAATCCCACACAACGTCACGCTGAACAAACCGTATTACTATGAAGGAGAGACGTAGATCAATGTTAATTTGGGCAACTAGGGTATACCAATTTACTCAACTGTTAATTTGGGAATAAACATCAACATTAACAAACTAAACACAAATCATAGCAAACAAACTCCACAAATTGTTGCAACGTGGGAATCAAAATCTAAAACGTTCCATATTCACTGTTACAGCTTCGAACGCTCATTGGGGACACCAGCAAAACATTACAGTTCGTCGTTGGGCATTTTGGTAAATTGAACATCAATAATATCCCCTATTTATCCTCCCTTCTTGAACCCCACACGCATAAAATATGGGCTTCAAAGTCTTTCAAATACAAATGGGACCTCTCAGTCCTTCAAAAAAAACACAGAACTTAATGGTTTAACATTCTCAAATTTGAGATTTAGGTCTCATTTGGAAACATACTTTTTTAGTAACTTTTTGACTTTTTGCTAAAATATAATATAAAAAAACTAGTATTTTTGTGATGACTTTTTGATTTTTTTTGTATGGGTTGTTGAACACAAATCATAGCAAACAAACTCCACAAATTGTTGCAACGTGGGAATCAAAATCTAAAACGTTCCATATTCACTGTTACAGCTTCGAACGCTCATTGGGGACACCAGCAAAACATTACAGTTCGTCGTTGGGCATTTTGGTAAATTGAACATCAATAATATCCCCTATTTATCCTCCCTTCTTGAACCCCACACGCATAAAATATGGGCTTCAAAGTCTTTCAAATACAAATGGGACCTCTCAGTCCCTCAAAAAAAACACAGAACTTAATGGTTTAACATTCTCAAATTTGAGATTTAGGTCTCATTTGGGAACATACTTTTTTAGTAACTTTTTGACTTTTTGCTAAAATATAATATAAAAAAACTAGTATGTTTGTGATGACTTTTTGATTTTTTTGTATAGGTTGTTGATTTTTTAATTTTTTTAGTGACTTTTTGATTTTTGAACTAAAAAAAATCACTTGCCAAACGAGGCCTTAATAGTGCTTTACCCAAAAATTTACTTATTTTCTTAATACTTTTATCTTTTGTTAAAAAAAATATTTGTATTAAAAAAGTTTATTATTTAAGTCCTTGTAATTTAGGAGGATATAAAAAATAAATTTATAAAAATTAAAACCAAAAATAAAAAAATATAAATATGAAAATGAATTTTTACGATTAGTAATTTAAATACATATATTTAATATCATATTTTATTTAAACTAATAATATCATGACCCATGGCAATACAACCCGAATAAAAAGTTCATCTTTACATGATTCTTTAGTCCTGATTTTCAATTTTTCAACCTTGAAAAACTCACTTTCCCACTTTGATAAAGTGCAAAAAAACATTAACCCTCCATTTTTTTTGCTCCGCAACAGTGCTCTGCTCCTCTAGTGGTAGTAGTAGTATTCCCAAATCCCAACTGAACAACGCAACCAACCCCCATTTTTGGGCATTCTGACCCAAACCCACATTCAATCTCTCCCTACATTCCCTCAAATCTCTTGAAAATCCAACCCTCCCTCTTGATTTCTTCATTCTCTCTGTTTATTTTGGATCTTTTTTTAACAGACCCATGAGAAAATCCCTTGTTTTTCTCACTTTCTTGCCTTTGTTTGTCATTTCTGTTCTTCAATTCCAAGCTCATGCTGCACCTGCAGGTGACAATTCTCTCTCTCTCTCTCTCTCTCTGTATGTGTGTATGTATTTGTTGATCTATATACATTGATTCTGATTTTTCAGGACCCTTGATCAAGCACTTGTCTTCTATTCTCAAATGGACTAGGTCTGCCTCCAAAACACCCCATTCAGGCAAGTCCAATTCATAATTCATGCTTTCCATTATTCAACCTGTGTTTTATATGAACATTTTTAACTGATGATCAAACAACAAATATGCACACACATACACATATCTATCTATCTATGTATATATATATATACATGAATGGACCACAGTCTAATTTTGTTCACATACTATCAAAGTGTGGGAACAGAACACAAATTTTGATTGGTTCAAACAATAGCATTGACAAATTTATTAGATGGGTCAACATACTTTTAGATGAGGGCTCACAATTTTGGACCTGGGTGCTCCCAATGTTTCGAAAATCCCATGAAGATTATTTTCGAATTGTATAAATTCACCTCTTAAGATTTTTTTGAGGAAATTTAATACTGTATCCTTTAGATTTTTTTAATTTATTTATATAAATATTAAGTGGTATGGTAGGCTTTAGTGTACTCTTTTTCTTCTTTTTTTTTCGCATATGCATTTGCCCCAGAAGATAGAATCATGCATCCATCCCTGTATGTATATACAATTCTCTCATGTTTTGATGGTACACAGATGGAAATGTCCTTCAATTTGAGAATGGGTACCTAGTTGAAACTGTTGTGGACGGAAATGAGCTTGGAGTTGTGCCATACAAAATCCGTGTCTCAGAGGACGGTGAGCTCTACGCTGTTGATGAAGTTAATAGCAACATTGTTCGGATTACTCCGCCATTGTCTCGATGTAAGCTTGTTCCTTTCTCTTGCTATGTTCACCAATTGATAATTGGATGTTTCCACTATTGTCATAGTACAGCCAGTTTGATTGCATAGAAAATTGAAAGAAAGGGAATAAGAACAGGTTTTCTTTCTTTTGTGCAGTGTTGTTTTCTTTTTGAAAAATGAATACTAACCTTTGACAAACCCATTAATAGGAAAGTTGATTGCAGGTTTTTGTTTCCTCGAGTTTTGAATGTTGAATATGTTAAAATTCAAAAACTTTTGACCCATTTTCTTTCATTTGTTTTCTTAGTAACCAGACTGAGGGTAGTCTTTGATAATTTATTTGCCAATAGTATGATGAATTGAATGGAAATTATATGCCTTGTGGATTTAAAAAAATTTTTTGGTTTTCATTTAAATTTGGCTTTTTATTTGCTTAGCGTTTACTGTTGCAGATAGCAGGGCAAGGTTGATCGCTGGGTCATTCCAAGGTTACACAGGACATGTAGATGGAAAGCCAATTGATGCTCGTTTTAATCATCCAAAGGGTGTAACCATGGATGATAAAGGGAATTTATATGTTGCTGACACCTCAAATTTTGCAATCAGGAAAATAGGAGAAGGAGGTACATGTGATTTATGCCAGTTTACATGTGATTTATGCCAGTTCTCTTGGATAATAGTAGCTTGAAGATCATTTAATTCTGTGGTTCAGATTCACATGCAGACATTAGTCTGAAAAACCCAAAATGAAATCGCAATGTGTATCTTCATCAGAGTATATAGTTGAAGTAGAATGTTATTATACAGAATAGTCAATTAAAATGAGACAATGCATCTGGAAGTGTTTTTGGAATTAATAGCTTTGGTTGCAAAGACATCACAGATAATATGCCAAAGCTACTCTAAAAATTGTTTGCAGGTGTGACAACAATTGCTGGAGGCAAATCAAATGTAGCTGGTTACAGGGATGGTCCGAGTGAGGGTGCTATGTTCTCAACTGACTTTGATGTGATATATGTTCGCCCTACCTGTTCGTTACTAGTTATTGATAGAGGGAATGCTGCTCTTCGACAAATCTCTCTTAACCAAGACGATTGTGGTTACCAGAACAGTTCAATTTCTGCCACAGGTTATAATTAGAAACCCATTCAATTTGTTTGATACATTGTTACATTTTTTTGAAACAGCAGCATTCTCTTTTGCTTTACTGTGCATAAACACTATGATGTGATTGACATGTATACAAGTGTAATCTACTGTTCTCTTATCTGAGGAAAGACCTCTGTAGGTGAAGTGAAACAAAAGGATACGCATATAGATGCAAGATTATTATCATTGCTCACCAAGATATACCTTGTAGGAACCACTTAGTTCTTGTACCTGTAAAAAGAGAAGTAAGCGATGACAGCTTAGTTCTAGTACCTGCAAAAACAGAAGTGATTACATTGAAGGTGGGCTGTAGAGTTAAGAGGAAGATGTTTGTTAGTGGGAAGGTTCGGTCTTGATTAGAATTAAAAAAAAATAACAAAACCATATGCTGACTATGGGTGAAGCTTGAGGCAATGATGTTGAGATAATTTGTGTCTAGTGACTTTGAATTGAGAGTCAGTGCTATAAGGAGAAAAAGGATCTGAAAAACTTATTTAGGTATCTTACAAAGACTTGATTTTGTTTTGCTTTATGTTTAGCTCCACTGAATGGGCTTAAAGGAATGACTGCACTTTGTGTGTGCCTGCCTAGGACATAGACTTCATCATTATGAGTATCACCTACTTGGCATCCCCTAGGAGTCAGGAATCTACGCCATCCCATGACCGTGGTGGTCAAGAAATATTCCTCTTGTGCATTTGCAACTTGCAAATTATAAATGATTGATGTAACCCATGGACTTACAATGGAAAGGAAGGTTCTTTGAGGATTTTCTTATTGCTAGTATCCTCTACAAGAAAATGGTTTATTGACATAAATTTCTCATATGTAGTTTTGAAGAATTGGTGACTACACAAATGGTTTTGTTTACCTTTGGGCATTCTTGAATGCAAGTTGACCACGTAAGAATTCACAAATGAAGCCAACTATTTTAACATATTGTGCTGGTTATCAAATTGATTTCCCCCCTTTATACGTTGACATTGTTTTGAATGAAACAAAAAATATTTTGGTCATTTTTTTTTTGTGTGTGTGTTCATTTTGTTGTAGTTAAAATGAATAAGCCAAGTCTGGGCATGCTTAAAGCAAGCAGGTTGTTTACCTTTTCTTCTTCCAAGACTGGATGAGTCATGGTTTGTTCACCTTTACAATGTCATCCCCTCGTCTATTTGGGAAGTATGCAAGGAATTTGGTATAATTTTTGTTAAAGCTTTTGAAAATATCAAGTTCTGGTCGTAACACTAGAGATGTGATCCCTTTAACCAAAGGGTTCTGTAATGGTCCCTTATAACTAGAGCTACTAGTATCTGAAACAACCAGTTTAACTTGTACCCAAAAACAAAAAGTACAAGAAAGTATCTGAAACTGCAAGTTAAAGTTACACAGTAATCCCTTGATGACGCTTGATATTGTCAAATAAAGTATATCAAACTTGGTATGGGTCCACGGTTGTTTCAATTGTTTCTGAAATTCTTCACTTGGATGCTGTAAACATGGTTTTTTTCCCCCTCTGGGATGTGAACATGTGGAGTGCTCTCTATAGTTGATTGAATAACGGTTATGTCCCCTCGATACGTTCTCTAGCACTTTTTTTTTTTTTTTTCCAAGCTTAGACTAGCCTAGCCCAAAGCCGGGTTCAAGCCGAACCACTGGACCTCTAAACAAATTTACATGCTTAGTAATAGACAACGAAGATGAGTATTTGTTATTATGGTGTTTGGGAAGTTTGGGACTTAGGTCTTGTTTTATTTTTTTCACTAAAAGACAATTTTTTTGCAAAACCAAAAAAAACAAATCCAAACAAAATATCACATCAAACCCCATAATCATTTCACTTTTTCTCTCACAAATATCACATCCAACCACAAAAAAAACCCAACTATCTTCCCAAACACCAAAAAAAATTTATCCAATAATATCCTACAATTAAAAAAACCTACATAAAAACCCACTTCCCAAACACCGACTAAGTTGCAATCAATCAGTATATATTGCTTTGTCAATGACAATGAGAAATTTGCAAACCCTGATTCTGATGCGTCATTTTTTAATTTAGTTTCAATTTCAGATTTCATTACCTGCTTAAATTTGATATACCTTATTGCTTCTCTTGGCAGATGTCTTTATGGTTATTGGTGCTGTCTTGATAGGATACACTTCATGCATGCTTCAACAAGGATTTGGACCTTCTTTTTCCTCGAAGGTGGTAATACAATTATTTTGCGGTTTCACTTCTGATTTGCTAATTGACAGGAAGACAAACAGAAATTTATAGTCTACTTATACCATTCTGACCAATTGATTGTAAGATAAGAAATATCTTCATTTTCCTCCATCATCTTGCAACAAAATGCAACAAGTTTGCAAACTATCATAAAAGTTGTTACTCATCTTTCTCCTTCTACCAGGCAGATTCATGGACCATATATGGGAAGCTTTTTGCTTCTACGATTGTAGTATTATCATAGTTCTTTGATTTGGCAATGAAAGGTCAAATCACCTAATTTTTTGTTGCCCTCGGAGGAGATGTTCACGTCAGATATTTTATGAAGGGTTAAATAGAGTCCCCAAAATATGCACTTTGTTTCATTTTGGTCTCAATATTTCAGTTGTGTCAATTTGTGTATATTTAAATTCAAGCGCTGTTTCTCTCCAAATTTGTGTCCAAATTTTATTCAATTTTGGACAAAAAACACCTCTGTTTCCTTTATAAAATGTTGACAGAAACGGCATTGGGACCATTTAATCAAAAATTGGATAAATTGGGGGCTAAATTGACACAATTGAAATATACCAGTAACCAAAATAACATGGAACGAATACTTTAGGGATGAATAGTGTAATGAACTCTTTATAAATGCTCTTTCTTTCATTTGCTGAATCGGTGTCATTGACAGGTGCAGAAACATCCACCTGAAAGTGAATATCAAGACTACTTGAGCAACGAGAAACCCACACCTGTTGTGGAACCCGTAAAAGAGGAACAAGAAGCCGGGTGGCCTTCTTTTGGAAGGCTCATAATTGATCTATCCAAGCTTGCACTCGAAGCATTGGCTAGTGTCTTCTTTTACTTCATTCCCTTCCGTTCCAAATCCAAGGGCTCCAAGGGTGTCCTCACTCCATTGAAAAATTCTCTCATAATGCCTGAAGATGAAGCCGAACCTAAAGCCCCGGTAGTTCAAAAGCAGAGAACTCCCACTCCTCTTTCTGAAACCCGACAAGCCCATACTGCAATTGCTGGTGATAAATATTCAGAAATGAAGGCCCCTAAGATGAGATCAACCAGTTTCAAAGATCCTTCTTTGTCGAGCAAACACAGATCTTCAAGAAGGCAAGAACATGAAGAGTTCTGTGGATCTGGGGAGGTCCCTCCTTTTGGCCAACATAGGTCTAAGAGCCACAAAGAAAGAACAAAGCATCGCCAACGGGATAAAAATGGAGAGATAGTTTATGGAGCAGTCGGGGTGGAACAGAAACCCAAACCCGTTGAGACGAGAACAGTGAATTATGATGATCCAAAGTTTGACCATTACAGTATGAGGAACAAGTATGGGAACTCATTTCGTTATGATTAGGCCACGATTTTTTGTTGACTACTCGTTCATGTTTCTTCTTGCATTGTGGTAAGTAACTGAACCGACGTTGGAAGTGAGGACTTGCTCTGTACGTTGTAGCCAAACAAGAACTTGGGTTTTTGTCTATTATCTGTATTTTGGATTCAGGGTATTGTTGATAGAATGAAAGTTGTCTGGATTTTGGGATAATCTTATGAGAAACACCTTTTTCTTCAATGTATGAATGATTTTATATCAGTTTTAGTGTGGATTGTGTTAATGCTTAGATGTTTCATTTTGATACCTAGTAAAATTCGTGAGTTGGCAAGAGCAGTGCTATGATGGAGCAGAATTAAGGTTGAAAATTTCTATTATTTTTTTTGAAAGTAAAAAAGAAAAATATAAAAAATAAAAGAATGGTGATTCATTTCAATCTTCATAATTTATCAGTCTGCTGTAATCTCTGGTAGATGATTAGAGAAAGCTTCGGCTGTCACTCAAATGCAAGCATATTATTACTTTTGTTTTTTTTCTTTTTTCAAGGGTCCTCCATTTGAATGGGAGACTTCAAAAACTCTTAGCATAGGATAGAGGCTTTAGAGCATTTAAAATTTATATTCATTTTTATTTATTTCATATCATGATTTGAATTAGTTTGAATCATTTTAACTTTATTAAATGAAAGTTTAATATAATTATATTCAACTTTTAGAACTAATTATATTTTTTTCAAATCGGTGATTTTTTTTTTTTTAACAAATCTTAGAAAGGTGATTGTAACGTTCCATTTATTTGAGCAAAAATATTTTTTTTTATTTTTTTGGTATTTGATATAATAGAAAATGAAAATCTAATGGAAAACATTTTGCATAATTAATGAAAAATAAGTCTCTTTAGACAAAAAATATTTTTTATTTTTAAAAGATGCAAAATATTTTTCAAACTAAAATTTTTGTAACGCCCTCAAAATATTATACAACTCAACCATTCATAAGGTCTGGAGACATAATAGAAATGTTATACTTTCATTCATCAGAGTCAATATTACAAAAGATATCACATGTATTACACTTTCATAAATATCTATCTTGAAACCATAGTATGTAATTCTAGTTTAGAATAATAAAATAAATGCTCTAAGGGTTTACATATTTTCCAAGTAATCACTTGGCTACAACAAAAGAGAGAGTCAGAAGCTATTTACAACTAAAGCGGTCGGCTTAAAAAAAAACATATAAACACAAAAATGAAATCACAAAAGCAGAGCCTTTAGCCTCTAAGCCTCCCAAGTTATGTCCTTGGAGGTGGCATGTCACTTGTACCTGAAAATGGTTTTCCAAGTAGAGTAAGCCAAAGCCCAGTAGAGATATACTAAACCATATATGAGAATTAACTAAAATATGAGCATCAGATAAATGTGCAACATTCTTAACCAACATATATTCTTTTCAAGGTCATTCAACATAGATAGCCAATATCTCAATTCATTTCCATTCTTCCATTCCGAGTAAATCAATTAACCAAATTCATTATTATCAAAGCAACCAATATGAAACTACAACTCAATGGTTCACAATTCATTACATTCATCAATCCAACACTTCTATTTCTTGCCATTTTAAGGAACCACGTCCGAGGGAACTGGCACCCATAAATATATAAGATTTCAGGACTTTCACCCTGAACACTCCGGCCAACTTAATTATCAATGGAGTCCATCCCCTATCTCCTCCCAAACAATGGAGTACATCCTCTATCTCATCCCAAACAAAGATATATATACAATGTATTTAAACACTTTGTCATATATAATGACTAATCAAAACACATATGCAATGGTTTAATCAAACCGTCATATTCAATGACATAATTCAATTGATTAGTTTCAATCATCCTAATTCTCATGCAGTTTCTACAATAATCATAACTATCCTCCATCAATAGCCCAAAACAGATATATCTAAACAGATAAATAAATCTATCAACAAATAATTTATCAAATTCCATAGGTGTGTGATTTATCAAACCAAACTACACCATTCAATCACACTTCCCCTAATTTCATAATTCCCAAACCAATTTCATTATTGACATAAATAGTTATTTCAACTCAACTTAGGGCAAAATTTCCCATTTTTCCAAAATAACAACCCATAGGTCCAAATCTCACCACTTCAACAATAAAGAACCTCATACACAAACCCCCAAGGTTACTTTGTAAATCAACATGAAAAGCCCCCTTTAGTTTAGAACCTAAACCTTAACTTTTAACAAAATCTTCCCAAGTCCCACCATTTATACAAAATGACAAATATCTAGGTTAAAGCTCATATTAAAAAATAAAATATCCCTACCTCAAGCTTACATGAGAGAGAAGAGAGAAAGCTCAAAAGTCGATGGCGACGAAACCACGTTTTGCCTCGATCAAAACGAAACCCTTGACAAGCTCTACACTTTATCTCAAAGGAGCAAGGTGAAAAGATCACTCTAAGTGAGTAGATCTAGAGATTTAAGTGAAAAAGTTGAGTTTTAGAGAGAGAAGAAAGGAATCACAGTTTAAGAGGAAAAAGGGAAGGAAAATCATGGGAGAAAAAATGGTTTGGGCCTATTTATAGTAATGAGGAAAAGCCCTAAGGTCAAATAAAATAATAGGCCCAAAACCCCCCTTAGATAGGGCTCATTTGGACATCAAAAATCTGGAAAAAAAAAACACGCAGGGGTCGACCCTTAGATAGGAGGGGGTCGACCGTATCTTCCAGCAACCAACACACAGACATAAGAGGATCGACCATCTCCCAGTCTGGTGTTTACCCTATCTTCCAGCAACTAACACACAGACATAAGAGGGTCGACCTTCTCCCAGTCTGGTGTCTACTCTATCTTTCAGCAACTAACACACAAACATAAGAGGGTCGACCCTCTCTAGTTTGCTGTCTACCCTATTTTCCAGCAACACTTCCAGAAACTTTACCAACAGGTAAGGGTCGACCCTTAGAAAGGCTGGTATCGACCCTAGAATAGAATTTTTAAGTCTCCAAGGAACTTTTGACAAGAATAAATGCGAACAACCAAACCCAACAAGTTTAAATCGGATTATACTCTTCCAAAACTAACGTACAACAACACCAAAGATTTTCAAAATAAAAATAAAGGATTCGAAGACACTTCCTCAAAAGCTTTGAAAGATACAAATGCTACACAAATGCTACAATATTCCTAATATCACTATATTAATATAACTACTCTCACCTCTACCACGACCACCAACTCCACCTTCGTCCCATCACTATCCCCAGCAAGCATAAAAAAAAAAATTTTATCATCCTTTTTCTGTGTTGACACGACAGAAATTTATTGATGGGGAAATTACATCCGATGATGGCAGAGAGAATTGTTTTTACATAAACATGGAGGGCAGCTTCACGACATTTCATTTACATCTAACATATTTTTATAATTTTTATTTAAAAAATATTAAAAAAATATTAAAATTTTGATTAATTTTTTTATCAAATATTTCACATGTAAATCTCATACCATATGAGAAATTTGATAAAATTTTTAAAATTTCTAATATTTTTTTATTTATTATTTTGTTCAATTCCCCTTTATTAATCTTAGTCCATAATGTGGGGAAATTATTCAATACTCTCAGAACACCACGTGTCTATATTACAAACCAATTACCAATTACTTAGCCCCATGTTGTTCCCCATCACCAACATAAATCGTGAGCTCTTGTGTCTTTCAACCAATCAAAACTTTATGGAACACCACGTGTTCCAATTACTTAGCCCCATGTTGTTCCCCATCACTAACATAAATCGTGGGCATTTGTGTCTTTTTATCAATTAAAACTTTATGGAACACTACGTGTCATGCTCCGGGAGTACTGAATAATCATCCCATAATGTGGGTGATTATTTAGGCCAAGTTTGGGTACTTCCAAAAAAGCTAAAAAGCCAAAAAGTTACTCAAAAAGTTAAAAAGTTAACACTATTCACCAAAAGTCAACAATGTGGGTGATTATTTAGTATTTTCGAAGTATGAATACTTAGTACTTTATAAAATTTTAATTGATAGAGAGGGATAAGAGTCCACGATTTACGTTGAGGATGAGAAACAATACGAGACTAAGTAGTAATTGACTTGGAATATTTTGAAATTATTAAATAATTTTCCCATAATGTGTACGAGTTCACCGTATGACGGACCGTACCCGATAAAAAATCAAATGACTATTTTACTGTACACTATTTCTCTTTCTATCTGATCTCTTGCACTCCTATTTTTGTTCGTGTAAATTCCCTTCACTTTCCGGGAAAATTATCTACAAAAAATTTTTCCGAGGCGCCAAGCACTGAACTCACAGAGTAGTTTTGTCGTGGTTTTCTAATCTTTCTTTTGACTCTGTCGATTGTATATGTACAAATAACCAGAGCATGGGGTGTGCTGGATCGTCGCAGACCAAAGGAGACGGTGAGTTCATCGCTATACCTCGTGGTTTCTTTGTTTTCTCTCTGATTAAGAATTTTAGGTCTTCAATTTTCAAATTTATTGAGCTTGTGTGTTACGTTCATTACTATCTGTTTTGAGTTCACTATTTCGAGATTGTTGCTCTCTCTCTCTCTCTCTCTCTCTCTCTATATATATATATATATATATCTGAATGTGATATGTATGTATCTATATCTGTTGAATTTGCCATGTTTGTGTTCGTTTGATCGATACGTAGAGTATAGATTCATTGGAAACTTGATGCACAAGTAGAACTTGGGATTAGTAAGCTGAACTTAATTGGAATGGTTGTTCTGAATCAAATTGGTAGGTAAGAAAGTATTTCCATTAGGTTAGAAATTCAGCTAAATATCAGAAATTTTCAGTTGGAGAATTTGACATAAATTTTCAGTTCGTATGATGATTTAGATCAAGGTATTTCAGAAATTCAACTGAAATATGGTGAAGTTCAGCGTAATAGTTGAAAAACTTGAAAATCCTGGCTGGTTATGTATGTTAGACAAAAGATCAGCAATTTATCACGCAATTAAATTGGGCTTCAAATGTATATGCCTTTGTTTATGTGATAGAATTGTAGCACACTGTGGTTTAATCAAGTGTACTTTGACGTGCTGGACCGGACTGGAGAATTCCAACTGGAGACAGTCCAGACCCTTGGCTAATTATTTCTAGCTTGGACGATGTCAAGATTTTGCACTAGTTTGTACTGTCAAATGTATCTCAAATGATGTTTGGGTCAGTCAATGGATTGGGTGAATTTGTGCTTCCAGACTATTTTGAGGGATTGAACGTAAGTCTGTAACTTGAGAACTTGTGATCCCCTTAGATGTTTTATGGTATCCTCTGTGAAGATTAAGTTAGAGAGTTGTGTCCAAATTGGGGATTTTCTTGTCAAGTGATAAAGAGGTTGAGTTTTGCTATATTGCAAAGTTACTGATTTAATTACTAGGGTATGCCACTGAGGTGATCCTTCTTCTAGGTTATGTGATTGGATTTTTTATTTTAATTTCTTCATCGTTTTATATCAAATTTACTTGAAAAAAAAAAAAAAAAAGAAGAAGAAGAAGAAGAAGAAGAGAGGGAAAGGAACCAAAAATTGCTGAGAATCCGTCATCTAGTAGGTCTTATTTGGCCAAACCCCATACCCTTTTTAAATGATTATTAAATGATTTCATTCCATCTGAAAGAGCCTCTATTCTACTTATGTTAGATTTAATAAATCTACATCACCGTAAAGTCTGTTAGTTTTCACTTGCTAACTCTGTCCTGGTTATTGAATTATTGACTACAATGTGAAGCCTTTGGTTCAAAATTGTTTTAGTTGTACACATTTCTAAGAATAAAAAAATTTGATTTTTTTTTATGATTTTTTCTCTCTTCTAAACCAAGGCATTTTTAAATTTTTTTTTTTTATAATTGATATCACACTCTCTTAGCCATCTATATTGAAGAACTTGATAAAAATTAAGATCCGAGATTGCAAGGGAGAGCGAGCATCAGATTTCCTTTCCCGTAAATTTTGTTCATCATCTGTCTTGACACTATGTATGACTACCATGCATGTAATGTCTAGGACTTATGCTTCAAATTCATAGGTCAACAGAGTTTGCCTTGAGACTGCTAAATGTCTGCAGTCTCTCAATTACTTCCGTCTATTGTATGATTTACAGCTGGCATTAATGTACTAATGCAATGGTTGGGACAATGATTATCACAGGGACTATGAAGAAGATCCGAAAGCCAAAACCTTGGAAGCATTCTTCGGAAATAACAAAGAGTCAACTTATGAAGATGCGAGAGGAGTTCTGGGACACTGCTCCTCACTATGGTGGCAGGAAAGGTAATATTAAATGTAAATGACTTCCATTGTTAGTGGGTTCTTGTAGAACACTAGAACAATATTTGTTGCCTTATCTAGAAAATATAGATAAGTAAAGTTCATGCCAAGATTCATGTGGAAGCCTTTCTTCAGACAAAAAACTACGGTAGCAGTGCAGAAAAAACTCCAACATGTCATGTCTATATTTAGGAAGGATCTTTACACACACACACACACATATATAATATTTCAGATTTTGCATACTGTTTCTTGTGGAGCCCAATCATCACCTCATTTCTGATGTTTTCAGCATTGCAGAGGCTAAGATGGGAAGAGTATTAAATGATTTACAAGAATTTGAACTAACAAAACCACAGAAAATGATTTTGTATTGCTTTTATTACATTGGTGATCTAGAGTTTAGGGTGGACTTGAGCAGGCTTTGCTGCATGTATTTTTAAGTTTAATCCACGCAATTAAATAGGGCTTTCTCTTAACATTTATCATTTATATTTATATGGTCCCATTGTACAGAGGTTGTGCTCCTATCGGCACAATTTTGAAGATATATGCATAGACTACAAGTTTACTTGTGCCACAAAAAAAGAAAAAAAAAGAGCGTTTATTTTGGTAGGATTAGGTTGTAACTCCCGATCTACCCTTGTCGAATATATATACTCTGAATTTCCAGATTTTTGTGTAATGTGAAGATGATTTTGTGGTGCTTTCTCCCTTAAAGCAGTGTGATACTTCACTTGAAAATACCTTTTTTCTTTAAAAGGCATTTTAATTCTTTGAGTACGGCTGTTTCATTCTCTTTATTAATTTATGCACAGTAGAGCAATGCAGGTGTGTCTTTTGGACAGTCTGATTATAATAGCAGCTAACATCCACTGTACTATCTTCTTTCCGAGTCTCAGCAACAGTACACTCTGTATTTCCAAAAAAAAAAATATTCTCCTCAACAGTACTCTTTAAGTATTGTAGATTTCCAACATTTCTTCATTGTTGGGTTTTTATCCAGTTTATTTCATCTCTGATAGGGTTTAAGTCCCCTTGTTGTCTTATTGACCTTAAGGAAAAAATCTGTTTTCCACGAAATACACACCATGCAAGCACAAGATAAGCAGAATATAGATTGATGTATTTTCTATTCCCAATATTACATTTGGTCGCACACATCTGATGTATAATTACCATTTTTCTTGACACTAGAAATTTGGGATGCACTTCATGCCGCTGTTGATGCTGATCTAACACTCGCGCAAGCAATTGTGGACAGTGCAGGGATCATTGTTCAAAGTGCCGATTTGACAGTATGCTATGATGAAAGAGGTACTCAAATCATTTTCCATGTAACTTCTTATTTTTCTTTATTTTTGTTAAATATTCACTCAGTTTGCCCTAGATTCAAGACTTCAATAATAAATAGGGAACATTACGATGCTTTTGGGCTAAACTTGTGGCATCTTGTACTCAAAAAGTTTTGTATCCCTAACCTAAAAATTCTTGTTACAGGTGCAAAATATGAAATACCAAAATATGTTTTGAGTGAGCCTACAAACTTGATCCAGGACAGCTGAAAAACTGGAACCAACGTAGCACTTGTGTGTAAGGGACCGGATGTAGATCGTGTATATCATTCTCTTTAAAAATCTTTAACCAAGTCTGGTTCACCTTTATGCCATTTAAGTCAGCTTGACCTTTTGCTGTAGGTTTGTTGATATCAAACTCACAGGAACCATTTGTTTTTGCTCTTTTGAATCATTTTCTGCAATCACATAGCGGGCAATTAGTTCTTGGGCTTGTAGTTGGTCGTATGAATAGAGCATTCTCTCAACTTGAATGCATACATATCATTGTGAGAATATTATTGTGTCTTATAGATACACTATATTCTCACAATCATTCCATTTGTGTGACGAGATGTTAGTGTTTTACTTAGCATTAGAAATGAGATCCGTTGTCAGCAGCAGCACTTAATGAAGATAGAGCACATTGAAAAGGATTCTTCACTCACTCTGCTCCACTTGTATTTTCTGTAGTCGGTTCTGTAGTTAGTATTGTCTTTGTAGAAGAAAGATATCTCGTCATCCACCGTCATTTGAACACTCTGTCGACCAAACTCTAATGAATTTGCATCGATATCATATACGATTCTCATATCCCATTGCTGCAATGCTCCTAACATGGTTATATTATAGCTAGGTACCATTGCCACACAAACATGCCTTGCTTCATGGAAAGACAAATACATGAATCTTGAATCAACCACAAAATCAGCCCCTTGAAAATGGAAAGTAATGCTTGGATACTCTTGAAAGGTCTCGTCGTATTTATACCAAAGATCAAGCTGATTATTTTCACCATATGTTCTTTCAAGTTTACCTGCATAGTAATATGCAAATGCACAAATCACCTTATCATAAGGTTTTCCTTTATTGGCGCTGACAGGAACTCCGAGTCTATGATGCAACCAACATTTTTTTAAAAAGAAGGTACCTCTAGGGAACCCTAGGCGTCACTTGTCGACACTAATGTCTATCAAATTTAGGTTGTAAAGGGTGATCTTGGATTCATGAATGGGATTGTTTTGACATCTTGTCCTCTTTGGACAAAAACCAAACCTTAAGTAGCTACGTTCATCGTGCAAACCTTAAGTAGCTATGTCCATTGACCGTGTGATTCAGTTGGTTTATTAAAGAGCCTTGACCTTTCGCCAACCCTAGTAACCCTGAAATCGCGTTGTCTTTGTTGCTATAAAAAGCGAAGCCTTTGTTGTTATTTGAACAACCAAAAATCATCTTGGATAAGTGTTTGTGGGTAACTTTCCTAAGTGGCAATCCAAATGTTTCCCAGGCGGCAATGCCCTTAGTTGTCCCTGAACCACCGCCACCTGAGCCATAGCTAAGGGAAGGACTACTACAACGCATAGGAAAGTGTTGCATAGGTTGTGGAAATCTTGAGTCATAACTTTTGGTCTTTTGGGTGAAGCAATTCTTGCATGGTTCACACTCAGTCCATGCAAAGGGGGTGTTTGGCAAGTTTGGATTTGAGCCCTTTTTTTGGGTTAAAATTCACAAAATAAGTTAAAATAGTTAATAAGACAAAATATCACATTAAATCCATAATTATTTTACTTTTTCCTTCACAAACATTACATACAATTACAAAAAAAAATCAATTATCTTCCCAAATATAAAAATTTTAACTTACTCAAATAGTTAAAAATTAAAATAACCTACTAAAATAGTA